CTCAATTTACGTGGTGCCTGTGGGGTTGTAGTTACGGTGTCATCTTTCTGAAGACAAGGCGGTGATCTGTTGGCGATGGTTGTTCAGTGTCCTGTGTCTGCCCATGAGAGGATGGGGCTACTGTTATTGCAGTTGCTGACTCCGTGGCGACCTGTACTGCCTATCTGGTAGCTTGATCTGGCACTGAAGACACTGAGAATAGCCGCATGAAAGTCGTAGGACGTGTGCTTTCCATCGCATGACTTGCCATTGGGGGAGAGTATGGAGGCGCTGATGCTTGTGACGAACTTTCTTCTGCGCAGTCCGAGCCGCGGACCACTTCTTGCGGGAGGGGGCAAAGACGATCCCGGCATCACGCCGGCTTGCCTTTGGGCGTCTGCCCCAGAAAAGGGTGCACATTGCGCCCCCTTCAGTCAGTCATCGTTGTTTGAGTTTGCGTGTCTCGCTTAGAGGCGCGGTGTTCGCCGACGACCAGAGCTGTCCTCTCCACTTGTTTGACGACTACTGGTCGGTCTAAATGTGCACGAGCACTTCAGGCTGTCAAAGTGACTCTGGCAGATTGCGGGACGGGAGTTTTTTTGTCGCCTACACGCCGTGATCAGCTTCCCGGCCGCCTGGATCACAGCATTTTTTAGAATCTGCTTTCTGGCTTCGTCTCATGCTGCTGCTAAATTTCACAGTGGGTCGGGGAGACGAATCAAACTAGTCTGGGCCACCTACGGGATTACGTGTCGTTCTCTGCCTAGGATCCTTTTGTTTTTGGAGGAGGGGAGGAAGATAGGGATAAATAAAGGATCGTAGGGGGCGCTCACCGATCGTTCTTACGAATTCACTCGTTCCGTTGTGCCTTACGGGCTCTCTCTCGAGCCCAACCAGCAGCCGCGCATGATATAGGCAGAATGTTATTGCCGACAAAGACAAGGGAGACTGGAATGGCCATTTCTGGCTTATTAGCCGTCGTCAGCCAGTCATACCTAACCTCGAAGTGTGGAATACCCGAGGCTCGAACTCGCGACCTGTTAGTTAGATGTCCACGCCTCTACTCACCGGGCCACGAGCCGGTTGCCCTGTCGGTTTCGATCGGGAATATACAATGGTAGGGGGCGCCCGCCGATCGTTCTTACGGAATTCGTTCCGTTGTGCCTTAAGGGCTCGCTCTGGAGCCCAACCAGCAGCCGCACAGTGACGCATGATAAGGGCAGAATGGACTCGTGGCCCAGTGGTTAGAGGCGTGGACTTCTAACTAACAGGTCGCGAGTTCGAGCCTCGGGTGTTTCACACTTCGGGGTTGGGTATGACTGGTTGACGACGGCAAATAAGCCAGAAATGGCCATTCCAGCCTCCCTTACCTTTGTCGGTAGTACCATTCTGCCTGTAAATAAAGGAATCGCCGGCTTTGGAGGCACATCGGACACCTTCGGGCCTCTATTGAGTTCGGCAGGCCGGTCAAGATTGGTTATCGGAGTGTGACCGGCGTACACAGCATGGTCGCGTGAGGCCATAGATGAGAGCTAGACGCTAGGATGAGGCGGTGTAGGATTATCCACCAAGCCTATCTATGTTTTTGCTGCAAAACTACCAGTATTTTGCCTCGTCGAAACGCGTCAGCGGACCTGAAATGACCCTGCTGCCGCAACGTGAACCCTCGTACACGACATCCATTTTTCAGGGAGAACCCCGAAACAGCTTACTCCAGCCTGGTAACCGGAATTGCCCTCTGGTCGGAAGTGCACTTCGGTAGTACTTGGTGGTTGAACCAACTGGTTCGCCACCTCGTTCACCCGAAACAACGTGTTCCCTTAAGCCATGACTCAACACCCTAGTGGAAGTCGGCCCCGGAAGTGCACACAAACCCTTTACGACTTGTGCGGCAACTGTAGGACTTTATTGCCGCGACGACTTTTTGTCGACTTTAATGATGAGCGGAATCGAACGCCGTACCGAAATCAGGCGGCGGTCATTTTATGGTTGCTGTAGCGGCATTCGAGGGCGTGAGTTAGATGAATATAATCACACGCCCTGTCTAGTTAGGTCCTGCGCTTGTATCGCGCACTCTTCCGGACAACTCCAGCGCCAGCCAGGGTAGAAACTGCTGCAACGGCTGTGACGAAACTTATGCCGCGCCACTTCTCGCACTTAATCTGGAAGACAGGCCTAACTACGGCCGCGTTCCAGTCATTAAGCTCTGCACAATCTTCTCATCCTTGGTCGATCGCTTTATGAAGTCAGGATGTCAACACGCAAGTTGCAGACTGCATCAGGGACGCTGCCCCTCGTTTGACGTCTTTTAGTCGCACAGCCCCCGTATTGCATCGGCATTTCGTATCGGGAGGGAGGGTTACACAAAACCTCAAAAATGCAGGTCGTGGTAATGTATTTGTCTGCAGCTTTAAGCCAGAACGTGTTGCACTCTTCGTTATGAAAAATGGGTAAACTCGTCATCAGAAAGTCACTTAAGATCGAACAAGGACGATGTTGTGGGCTAAAACAGTAAGACCCGTCATAGTATTTGAGCCCAAAATGATTTGGAGATCGTCTGGCGTTTTAAATAGTTGACATTGCTGTCGGTTGTGAGGACTGAACTGCACGGTAAAATCATATGTAAATTGGCTTATAGTACTTAAATTAACCGAGTAGAAATTATTGCGCGATTCCGAGGATCGTTTGAGGTATGAGATATATGCAACCAGGCAGCTGACTCATTGGGACGGACCCTAACCCCTAATTGCTCGAGTCCCAGTCTGGTGTTTGGCCGCCGCACCCACCAGGAGTCTTGTCACTGATCAATGTTGTATGCACTCACTCTTCTGACGGTTCGTCGGGGCCGATTGGTGTGATTGGCACTGGGCGTCATTAGCCCTTCTTTATTCCACTTTCCTCCAGTCCTTAACTCTTCACCTCTGCTTCTCGTTGCAGCCCAACAGCAGTGTACGCATCCTCCTCTGGGAGTCTGGCAGTCACGTGGTCTGTCAAGACGAGGGAACTCGACAGGCCATTCGTGGTGCTATCATCTCCTGTGCTGAAATGACCTGTATCCCCCCTTATACCTGAAGAACCTCGACTCTCTCTCCCCGCATCCTCCTCCTCTACATGTTTAAATGTACAAAGCACCACACCTGTTGTTATCTCCACGCCCCTACTCTGTCCGAGGTTGACTGCTCAGCCGACAATAACCCGTGCAGAGCGCAACCGAATCTGCGCGAAGGCAGATGGTGGTACTCGGGAGCGAGTGGCAGAGATCATTAAGTGAATGCAAATTACTAGACAGGAAGTGTTTGGAGCGTTCAGGTCGATGACCAGCTGGGCTGTGGTTTAACTGGGGTCTGAACATGACTAGTTAATGACAGGAAATTGGGCTCTTTTATTTACCTTTTTCAGTGAGAAAACCTCCGATTATTACTCAATTCTCGCTGCGCGACCGAGTCCGGAGCTCGAAGCCAAAGCAGGATCGCTCTTTCTATTCCGTTACTTTCGGCGGGCATCGCATGACCCTTTTATTCCGAGACAATGAGTCGGCTACTTCGCTTGTAAAGCTAAAAACTGCCGACGGCAGCCCACGCCAGGCGGAATGACTGCGAGTTTTACTCGCGCTCGGGTGGGTGGGAGGGGCAGGTTGGGGTTGTGCGTGGGAGGATAAGGGTCGGGACGGAAATCACGGCGAGCAGCCGGTACGGACGAGGTAGGGTGGCGGATAGGCCGCCCTTGGACTGAACGAGTACCATGTCCTTGATACGACCCAGTGCTCTAGAGGTGGCAAGAGCGAACGAGATGCGCTCATAGGCTGGGGTTCTGTCGACAACGCCGGCATCACCTCAATCAAATTGGCCTCTTCCCTGTGGATGCACGAGCGAGAGGGAGGTGGCTGTGTTGTCGCGCAGCTTGTTCTCACTGAACCTAATCGCAAGTCCTGGACCCCCTTGACCGATATATAGGGGTGACGGGCGCACTGGATGCGACTTACGCTGCCCTTGGTGTGCGCGACCGTCGTTCGGAGGAACGAAATAGGCTTACGCGCAGTATCGCTACTATGGCACCCCAGCTGCCGTGACAGAGGCGCTCGTCACTATTAGCATCTTCAAAAGCGGTTCCCACACACGACGCCAGAACATTGACGTCCCTAGCACGGGGGCTTTCGGTATAACCACAGTGTCTGTAGAGATGACCGGCTATTGGTGGGATTTTCGGACGTGGTGGGGAAGGGGCCTGGTGTTTTTGCAGGCAGACTATGTGACAGCCCTTATCACCTGTGACGAAGGCTTAGGGTGGAACATTTAAGTTCGAAAATACTGATCCCGAGAGAATGAAGAACTTCCAGAGCAGCCAACAACTCCCGAAGACTGGAACTGCGCAGCTGCTCGGCGCAGACGGGACACCTCTGTTGAAAAACACTAGGTCAAACACCCCAGGTGTTTTTAACCGTGCATATACGATCACCATAAACAGACACCTCCGAACAGAGACAAACTCAACGAGCTCGTGGCTCAGTGCTTAGAGCGTTGGGCCCTTACCCAGCAAAACGTGGATTCGAGTCTCAGGAGTTGGGCGTGGTTGGCTGATGACGGCTGTCAGGTCGGAAACGGTCAAGCCAGTCCCGCCTGTCTTTGTCAGTCATCTCCACCTGTGTATGAACCTAACTGGCTGACTCCCCCCTGAGGTCGTGGCAATACAGCAGACGTTCAGTGCAAATTAAGTTCCAGCCGAAGGTTGCGAGTACAGCGGCCCCCGCCACAGATGAGGCCGTCCCGCGGTAGAAAGTCTTAGCAAGATGCAAAGGAAACCTGAACAGCCGCTACGGTCGTCGTCATAATCAACTGTCTTCTCCCAAGCTCTACTAAATCGTCTGAGTCTACACCTTGAGAAAGGACTTATGACAAGAAATTAAGGTGGAATCCGGAGAACCCGTAGGACCATCGATATCGTCTTACATTACGAGGACCACACGTAAAACGTAGGGAGAATCGGGATCAGCCTCTACGCATCCCCCGTAGGCCTAATCGGGGCCTTTAGCATGGTGGAGGAGGGATTCGCGACGTCCGGAAGTTTATCCTGGTGGTCAATGAAAAGTGAGATGAAGCAGAGTTGCATCCTCCTCACAACTCTCTTCATTCTCATGGTTTCGTCCATACTAACGAACGCCCACCAAGGAGATCGACCATAGGAATTTGATACCACAACCTTCAAGGTCGGGGTGCTCGACGTCTTTGACGACCAAAGCCGAGGGAGGTAGATGCCGCAAAGTGTGGACCCTTCCACCTCCGGGCTCGCGAAAATCCTATGACCCCAACGAGGGACACAAAGGGTAGGGCGCTGAACGTGAAAGCCGGAAAGCCCTGGCCCAAACACGCCGCCTTAAAATGCCACTTTCTTTGCCTCGCTGTGTACCACAACTCCACTCGTCAACCTGCCCACAGTGAATATTTATACCCAACGAAAGTGCTTGCATCAGCGAAAGCGTCTACCCCTTCATCTAAATCGTAACCTCCTGAAGGTAGACACCACCTACCACGATGGTTGAACACCTAGGACAACGCAACGCGACCGGACGTTCAAAGTACTGCAGATGGTGGAGATCGGGAGCGGACTCCCCAAAGGTGCACCACAGGTTAGTGAGTGATCAGAATTGCATGACATAAAAATGAGTTAGTGTTCAGACCACCGACCCATCCAGAGTTTTAGGCGAAGCAGAGACCAGATTTGTGCAGCTTAACAGGACAACACTCAGAATAGAAAATACCAGTGGGCAAAAAATACAGGCGTGAAAAAGCTGACCTTCCAAACGAAGATCTACACTGCATTGCAACTTAGCAGAAGGGGGCCTCGAGCGCAAAATACCCGAGGACAAGGATCAGAGGCGCTACACCACCGGCAGTATCTGAGTTGCCCATCTTCAGACGTTGCATCGTTATTCAACGATTGATTTAGTGCAGGAAAAACTGACAAATAAGAACTTGATACACAAAGGGTGGGAGGAGTCAAAGGGAATGAAAATGCGCCAATAAAACAGTTTGGAGGCGGCAGCTCTCAACATGAGACACTATACAGTAGGTTAGGTGAATCTGCGAAGTGGCGAGGCTAACGTAGCGCGCATCATCACCAGACGAGGGAGAGGAGGGGCAGCGTGGCGTTGGCGTCGTCAAACCTTTGTCTCCGTTTCCGGAGACGAAGGGGAGGAAGCTGAGGACGATGAGGATGAGTCTGAGGAGTCTGACGAGGAGGAGGATGAGGACGAAGAATTGCCATTCTTCGATTTCTTGTCGTCACCTTCATCCTCAGAAGATGATCCGGAGGAGGATGAGCTGGACTCGGCATCAGCTTTCTTGTCGCTGGCGCCCTTCTCCTCGTCGGCATCCTGGCTGTCTTCGCCCCAAATATCGTACTTGGCAAGGTCATTCTCGTCACCGGATTCTTCTTCCTCTTCCTCATCTCCCTGATCACCATCACCAACATCTTTGGACGCCTCCTCCGGAGAGCGTGATGGTCGTGGTGATTTCTGGTCAGATGTCTTTGTTACTGTGCTCGTCTCCTCATCCTCGTGCTAGAAAGGGTAAATTTATGACGACAATTCAAGTAGGGACGCTGAGGAACGAACCTGTGAGCATGTGTACACTACAGAAATACACTTTCGCGGACTAGCACAAAATACTTGGAAAGCTCTAGCGGGCATTCGTCTAAAAAATTACTCGGGCGAGAACAATCTCGAAAGTTAGTTCTCAAGGGTAAAATATGGACTGTGGTGTTCATCTAAACATCGGGAGCAGACGCATGGGGTTTATGGACGACAACCCTGCAAGCTCTATTAGGGTCCATGGAAGGCTTTTTGAGTCCTTAAGATACACTGACCACCATATGAGTGGAGAAGAAAATTACTAATGATGGGAGAGGTGACATGCCCTGTAGACGTGACTGGAACCCGCCGTTTCGCGCAGTGACACAGGTAATGAAGAATCTAAGTCCACCGATCCGTTTACGCAGTTGGGATGAGAAGGGATGTTGTAGAAGTAGTCGGGTATAAGCTCGACGACTGAACTACAGACTGAGACAGTAAAAACTCACCAACCAAGGAGAGGCTATGACTGAGAACGGCGAAGGATCGTACAGTTTAGTAGTAAGACCTGTCATCCTTTTTAACCGATCATTCTTTGGATCCCTACTTATGGTTATCTTTGCTCAGTACACTCCAAAGCAGACGTGACTCCCCAGAGTCTTAAAACCTTACCTAATCACTATAAGCACATCATATGATCGGCCAATCGCTGTTTATGCATTGCAAACAGGGCAACGCCGACGCCGGGAGTGCGGCAGCATCGACCTAGTCACCCATCCCATTTTCATCATGGTCGCGCCACATGACGACAGGAGGAGAGCTTTTATACGGTGGCTAACCACGAGAGTCTGGCGAGTACTGAGTTTGTGCAAGCTTTATTTGGACATGGTGCGTTTAACCAGCTCCAGACTGCGGAGCATAGGCCGTGTGGGATTATAAAGATTCACGGGAACACGAGGCAGACTAAAGTCTCCGTTCGTAAGCCCAAAGCGTTGGGCCTCCATCGTCAATACAACGGTCGCAATGACGGGAACCGCATTTGACAGCGTGCAAAATCACCCATGTCGTGATACCGTTTTGGTCTGGGACCTTATGCGCAACCAATTCATCAGATCAGTGCCAAGTATTTTCTAGGTTACACCAGAGATCGAAACTGCAATAGTATGTACTTACGTTTTGGAGTTTTCGATACTTCTTCTTTTTCAATCCGAACTAAAACGAAGGGAAAGACAAAAATGTCTGGGTTACCAGGCCTGTGAGGGTAAGGAACAAACCAACAGGCATTACCTTATAACTGCAACAAGACCCGGACCGGAACCAAAGCTAACCAGATCCCGAATGGATGTACATAATGCAATTGATCTTCAAGTTTTTCTAGTAGTTTAGGGGAATCATAAATACTGCACCGTTGGTTTGGGCATACTGAAAAGTTTTCTTAGATGGTTTGAGACTCACAGTGGTGAAACAGGAGTGGCTAATAACCTCAGAAAATCTGCCTGAACTGTAGTACGATTAGGGACAATTTAGGAATTAATATTAAAGTCGGGTCAATAGTTTCAGCGTATAAGGTTGGGACCAAATACTCAAAAATACAGCGGTGACCCAAAATTTCATGGCTAACTTTGACAACAGTTTCTGAATATTAACATAACGCAGATACGAAAAGCAGAAAATTGCAAAAACTGTGATGTGGCAACGGCTCAGCGCTTATGGCATCAGTCGAACCCTAAAAGCCCAGAGAACCTAGGTAGGACACACAGGTAAAGCTTGGTAGGTAACTCATGGTGGATTAAATATTTCTAAAAGCGTTGAGGGCAAAGCCATTTTATTACTACTAGTCCGAATATTAAGTGGATAAAACCGTTGAAATAGGCAATGGGTGGCATACAACATACCTCGTCATACTCGTCGTCAGAATCGTCACGACGCCTATATTCAACAACTTCGTCGCGTTCCATATAACCTCCACCATAGCCGGTGCGCTGGCCTTGAGTATTAACTTTGGGACAGTTGCAGACGTTACAAGTTGATCGGCGAGCCCAGTTTATGTTTCCACAGCTATATGGAGTATCAACAATGTAAATAACCGATGAAAGGTAGACAAAAGCACGTAAAGTAAGCCAAAACCAGAGTCCGAATCACAGGACGTAATGCAGCACTGTTGATGAGAAAAAGATACCATGGGAGACCAGCGACAGTGAACGGTCTGTTTTGTCTCGTGGTTCCGGAATCAGACATCTCTCATCGGCTTATAAGTCTCGGGTTCATCCAACCCACGACGATATAAAGTTGGATAACAACGGTCGATAAGCCATAATGGGTTCATTTCAACCCTTGTTGCTGTCTCGGCAACCTCTTCAAGGCTCATACACAGCGGATAATCGTGACAACAGTATACTTTTTGACTAGACTTGACTGCTGAAAGCAATCACAAACCTGCACCCTTGGGTAGAGGACGAACCGACTGTCATGAAGGGGTTACTTAATGACCGACCCAAACGGCGGACCGTGTTGGCTCGTACCATGGGCTGTCAAAACCCGCGAATTATTCGGTCACCGAGTCACACAGCGAGTCCTCTGCTGAGGTTGAAAGGCAGACCATTTATGTGTAGGAGATTCACACTTTTATCGGTTATGCGCAAGAACCCTAATTAGGGCAGACTGTTGGAAACAGGGAACTCACACATCTGGATAGTGGTTGCTGCGGGACTTGCTCGGACCGCTGGCATCGCGAATCCGTGCACGATGCTCTACATTCGAGCACTCATAGCCATGTCTGCTACTCTTGCAATTTAATCGAGGTCCCCTCTTCTCTGAGTCGTAAGATGAGTCTATTGTGGTCTGAGCGACTTTTCTGTTGAAATTTCAAGGCAGGCAATTTATGCATAGATAAAATTATGCTTAGGAGGGGGGCACGAATGCAAGCAGGGACTGTGAATTATAAAATTTACCCTTTACATTGCCAATCGTCGGGGCTAAACAAACCCTTGCTTTTCTCCGCCAGATCTTTTCCTATCTCACGTTGCTCGCGGTCATTCCAATTCTTCCTCCCCTTTCCACATTTATTACATTTATCACGTCTCGCGAAGTTTAAATTGCCACAGCTAAGGAGTAAGCACTTCTTTTATGGAGTGTCTTACCGCGAATCGCTGCATACCCAATCACCTTTAGACGGCGCAAACTTGGATGACATTTTACAAAACACACACACGCTTTCTGAAAAGTGCGCCACTTTGAATGTGCAGGTGGCCAGTGAAAACAAAGTCCCTAATATAAAATATCTTAGCAACTTACAGATTAAATAGATCACTTCCCTAGAATAGACTGTTCTTCTTCTCTATGTAACTGTGCAAGCACGCGGGAACCAGCGCTTACGAGCCTTGGGAGTTATTCGTGTTCTGACAGGATTATACAGTAGTCCGAGCAAGTGCAGCCCTCTAGACTGCCTGGAAAATTGGAAGGATGCAAGATATCGCCAGTTTTAGTGTACACAGGCCCCCTAGTGTTACCACTCTATCTAAAAAATCCTCTTATCAGCATTTTCTCCTATTATCCGTTGCCATTTTCATTTTCTCCCATCCAACTCTGCACAAATCATGCATCGATCTGGTTGGTCTTTTGTTGGATAAATTTGTTCCTGATTCCCCTATTTTACACAGTCCCACTGATTTAGTCTATGATGCCCATTGTTTAGTTCGCCTTTACGAGGACGTCAGTCGTTTTGTAGTGCTGGACGATTTTTCTGACTTCTCTTTTGAGCCTGTTTTTTACAAACGATTCGCATTACCGTCAAAGTGCCAATTAAACTAGCGATACAGGTGTACAAACATTACTCTAAAAGACGTCTGACTGAGTTACCAATATGCTCACTTCTGTTGGACGAAAGTGAGGGAAGGCCACGGTCGTTCCAGTTACCCCGTAGATCCACTGAAATCTCCCACAATAAGTATATGTTGTTGACCTAGGAACCTGATAATGTAGTGCTCATCGGCGATCGACTGTGTGCATTAGCATCTGCGTCGGCTCCCCAAACGCGATATGACCCCATTCCAGGACTGCATGGACTTGTTTACGATATCTATTCCGCCCTTATTGCTAGTTATTTCCAAGGCCTCCAGTTCAGCTAGCAGTACTTACATTGCGTCTTTGCCTGGCATTGCTTGTATATACGTTCCTTTTAATATCGATGACTAACTTTTGTTTCGTTCTCCTCTTCCGAACTTTTAATATACAGTGAATATTTTGGTATTCCCTTTTTAGAAACAAGTGCGTTCTTCCTACAGGTGACTGAAGTGATGCACTTTCCTGAAGATGCAAAATGTAGTTGATCTTTTCAGCGAGAACACGGTGGCGGATGTTGTCAAAGTCTGGCTTTGTGGAGAGGATTACGTTCTTTGGCTTAAGGAGCGAGAAAAGGCCATTCTTCTAGAAACTGACCAACGGCCCCCAGAGGGCACGAAAATCCACAAAGTCAGAACGTTGAAAGAAGGGCTGGCCTTCGAGAGGGTGCGAAGATTGACTCAGAAGGACGTAATGACTGGCGACCTAGTTTCCTATGAGCCTGCTGTTTTGGGGGGAGGCATGAGAACTAAGTAAGTTGCCTATTCATCAATTATTATATATATATGAATAGTTGAGGTAGTGTGCATTCCAAGATAATATGATGATGAGAGCCTACAGACGGAGTTTCATCGTGGTGATGACGAGGCAGTGGTCCGTCCAGCCATCGGCGTCGCAGATCGCCTTGGTCATCATCACCTCCTGTCGATCTCGTCACCGAACGAGAATATAGCCAACCAGTTGCCAGCGCCGCGATAGAGGGTGCATCCAGGTGGCTTTCTTCCGCATCAGCATGCGAAAGAGTGTGTTGGTCAGTAGGGCACGGTGTTCGGCGCAGATTCGTAGGAGAAGGAGGTTATTGTTGTTGTAACCGGTGATTCTATGGGGATCCAGCACTCCCCCTCGGACAGCACAGTCTGTCCTGACGCGGAGGCTGAAGTCGACACTGACCAGCAACTTATTCGCCTTCAGCGCAGATGTCAAGAGAGCGTGAAGGTCTTCGTAGAACTTTTTCTTCTCCTCGTCTGAGTTGGTTATTTCTGGAGAGTAGACGCTGACGGTGGTGGCGAATTCGCCTCACCAGAGAGACAGGTAAGGGCTCATCAGGCGATCGTTGATGCCCTGCGGTAGATATGGTAGACGTCCAACGATGCCGTTCCGGATGTCGAAGGTGACGCCCGTTTTACGTCGCTCTGCTTTGGGGTGACAGCTCCAGAAGAAGATGTGGCCGGCATCAACTTCCTCCAGTCAGCCTTGTTCGGAGAAGCAAGTCTTGCTGAGTGCAGCGATTTCCGCTTTGTGGCACGTCAGTTCCTGAGCTGCTAACACCGACCTCCACACCGGTCGGTTGCTCCTGGGATTGTCTAAGAGGGAACGAACATTATAGACTGCTAGATTAAGCGGACTCATCCATACTGCCTGTGGTGGTGAGGAGAAGGAGGAGGAAAAGTATTTTTTCTTGCGCTTTGTCTTCGACCGCAAGTTGAGCAGTCTGCGAGCCACGGTCAGTGTGTAGACGACATGAATCCCAACATTTGTTTAGGGCAACTTTTCTAGCCTCTTCCCTCTCATGGGGATGAGCAGTGTTCTCCCTACATAGGGATGCTTCGTCGCACCAAACGGATACCGCTCTCTACTATTGATTACGGGCTTTAGTGAGAGAACAACCAATGGCCTGGGCCGCCTACTTGATTGCTGTCGATCTCGCCGAAAGACTTCCGACCGTGGGGTAAAACAGTAGAGTAAGGAGTAGAGAGGCTAAGGGTTGGAGCAGAATCGTGGAGAGAGGGCATGAGGTTGGCCGCCTCCCCCAAGTGGAAATCAACGTCAACCTGAGCCTCCCGCCCTATCTTACAGAAACTATTCGCGCCGTGCAACGACCCTCCATCGGAAAGGCATCAGGCTCCAACGCAATCCGGGCCGAAATCCACAAGCACTGCAGCCACTGCTTGATAGACCAACCCATGACGCTATTTCAGGAGACATGGCGCAGTGGACAAGTTCTTCAGAACTTCAGGGACGCAGCCAGTGTCCACCTCTACAAGGACAAAGGCACTGTATCTATCGCCCTCCCAACGCCAATGAAAATTATGATCGTTTACTCTCACAGGCATTTCATGCTG